GGTGAGAGAGGTAGGGGAAGATGAAGGTTTAGTATGAAGCCCAAAGAAGGCTCAAAATTACCCGGAAATCGAGGCTGGCCCATCCGTTCACATGGGGATTGGGGACCCTGCGCACGCTGCCCTGCCGTGGGCTGTCCGGAGGGGCGCCTTCAACAGAAGGGGATGAGCATTTGGGGCACCCGGCCACAGGAATGTCCCAAGGTCAAGCCCTTGCGTTGTAAGCGAGACAGTTATCTAGGGGTTTCTCTCCACACCTCAATTCCTGAGCAGGGTTGGTGGACTTAGGAGCAATGGCAGGCATGCTTCTGCAGTAGATGAGCGAGCGCTGGCCGGCGCCCGGCCCCGTGCCCTCCTGACCCGCTTGTCTTTGTTCCCACAGAGAGAGGTGCTCAGCATGGCGGGGGCCCCGGGGCTCCTCTTCCTCCTCGCGCTCCTCCTGCTCCGTGCCGCGGGGCAGGCCAGCCCCTCGGGTGCCCACTGGAAACCCACCTGGCCTGCTTACCGCCTCCCGGTCGTCTTGCCCCAGGCCACTCTCCACCTGGCCAAGCCGGACTTTGGGGCCGAAGCTAAGTTGGAAGTGTCCTCCTCGTGTGGACCCCAGTGTCACAAGGGCACCCCGCTGCCCACGTACCAGGAGGTCAGGCAGTACCTGTCTTACGAGACGCTCTATGCCAACGGCAGCCGCACAGAGACCCAGGTGGGCATCTACGTCCTCGGCGGGGGCGGGGGCGAGTCCCCGGGCAAGCCTCGGAGGCGGCGGCAGATCTACGGCTACGACAGCAGGTTCAGCATCTTCGGGAAGGACTTCCTGCTCAACTACCCCTTCTCCACGTCGGTGAAGCTGTCGACGGGCTGCACGGGCACGCTGGTGTCGGAGAAGCACGTGCTCACGGCCGCCCACTGCATACACGACGGCAAGACCTACGTGAAGGGGACCCAGAAACTTCGGGTGGGCTTCCTGAGGCCCAAGTTTAAAGATGCCGGTCGGGGGGCCAACCACTCCAGCGCGGCCGTGCCCGAGAAGATGAAATTTCAGTGGATCCGAGTGAAACGCACCCACGTGCCCAAAGGTTGGATCAAGGGCAACGCCAACGACATCGGCATGGATTATGACTACGCCCTCCTGGAGCTCAAAAAACTCCACAAGAGGAAGTTCATGAAGATCGGGGTGAGCCCCCCCGCCAAGCAGCTGCCGGGGGGCAGGATCCACTTCTCGGGTTATGACAACGATCGCCTGGGCAATTTGGTGTACCGCTTCTGTGACGTCAAAGATGAGACCTATGACCTGCTCTACCAGCAGTGCGACGCCCAGCCGGGGGCCAGCGGCTCGGGGGTCTACGTGAGGATGTGGAAGAGGCCACAGCAGAAGTGGGAGCGAAAGATCATTGGCATCTTTTCAGGGCACCAGTGGGTGGACATGAACGGCTCTCCGCAGGATTTTAACGTGGCTGTTAGAATCACCCCGCTCAAGTACGCCCAGATTTGCTATTGGATTAAAGGAAACTACCTGGATTGTAGGGAAGGGTGACACAGGAACCCTTCCTGCGGCGCTTAAAGGTCTTCACGTACTCATTTTAGGAGAGGCCACGTTGTGTCATTGGCGTGTGCGTGTGTGTGTGCGTGCGTGTGCGCGCGTAATGGGTCAATATCTTTTACACTTTTTTTAATTGCAAGACGATTGGCATCGTTATTTGGAAATTGGTTTGTGTATCCTATCGTATCATTTAAACAGTTTGAAGACATACTTTTGCATAGAGATAAAAAGCGTACTGATGTTTGGGGCAATAGGGACTCCTTAGTGATTAAGTTAATCTTTCACTTTTTGGGAACTTTGATTTTTATTTCACCTGAACTTGTTTCAGAGGTTTATATTAAATATGTGGCATACAGGAGATATAAATTCTGGTGTGTGTATATGTGTGTATTTTCTCCTGAGAGTCATCTTATTTTTGTGTGTGTTTTTTTAATGCCTAATCACTAATGTTTCCAGATGGCAGTGTTCCCCACCACATGCAACTCTTAGGAGCTTTCACAGTACTTCTGAGACAGGCAGTTATCCTATTTTGGTTTGGGGGCATCTGCACAGCAGTCCTTGATCAGTAATATAATATGTTGCCTGTGTTGGTGCACATATTAAATTACATCTTACAGTGGGTACCCGGGCTGTTTTCAGTTTTGAAATCGCTTCTCTTCCGAAGACTGTTGCTCTACTTTGGGGAAGACTTTGCATATGGCTCTGCCAGGTTTGCAGTCACACCGGAGTGGGCAAGATGGTTTAAGCCGATCCTTCCATTTAAAAGGATTTCACGCACATTTCTCAAACTAGGTGTTTTTCCGAAGATAAGAATCAGGGCCAAACGAGAGTAGGTGGTATTGCTTCCCAGCACCGTTAGGTCGTCATCACGCTAAAAACAATCATTGCATTTTACCCCCAGAGTGTAGTACATCTCATGTTTTATCATTTGGATGGAGTAATTTAAAATGAATTAAATTCCAGAGAACAATGGATGCATTGCTCGGCAGATGTCACAGCAGAATGAGGACTTGTTTGGAGCCTGGCACAGTCCTAATCAGAATTATTTCGCATATTTTTCAGGGTACTTTCAGGGAGCTGCGTCCTTGGGCAATTTCGAGACTTTTCTCTTGTACTTTACTTATTTTATAGTAAAAGCGTTTGGAAGGTGCTATAAGAAAAGACAAAAAACGTGGCTTTTTCACTAGCTTTAAAAGGGCCTGTTTTACTGGAATACTCTAAGCTACAGGCACATATAATCAAGTACAGTAGCAACAATGACAGTTGGGAGAACGCAAAGTGGATCAGAGTCATCGCTCCAATAAAGGCCTTTATGAATGTTTTATCAATAAGAGAATCACAGTATATAAAGAAGAGAGTTTGACATATTTTATGTTTTCATTTTTTGCCTCTGAGCCTGAACACCTTTCTAAATGGATTACAAATGGATTACAAGGCAGACGTTCGCTGTTCTTGCACCCCCTGTGACTTCAGCCTGCCTTGTGACTATTTGTGAGGACATTCAAATACAGCACCGATGCTTAAACCTCCCCCAGGTGGCTTTTGGCTTGGGTATCTTTGAGCTTTCTGGAAGGATAATCCTGATAAGGCACTCAAGAAATGCACAACTGTAGCGCTTTCTCCAAGTCACGTAACAAATACTATGAATAGCAAGAGGCCCAGGGCTGCCAGGAATTTTCTGAGCTCCAGTACAGTTTACTTTGGAATCTAGCAAGAATCTAGCCTGAGGAAGAAGAGAGGTCTCCATCTCTATGCCTGGTATTTGGGGGTTTTTTGTTTTTTGTTTTTGCTTTTGCTTGGTGCAAAAAGATGTTCACTGAACACCTAAATCAGAACTGATTTTTTAAAAATAAATACACTTTGATTTCTTCATGTTGATCTTTTGCAAAGTTTAAACGTCCCTCAGCAAGAGTAGGCAATGGCACAAAGTCAAAATCATATCAATGTTTAGTTCTCAAGTAGATGTGCTGTACTAAAGAATTGTATCCACATGCTCTATACAACGTTAACTCATAGGACTGCAGAACCATTCAACATGTTCTTCTTTCCAGTGGTAATTAAAGGAAGCATGGTATGAAAGTCTCATGGAAGTTGAAATAAAAAGAAGAAAGGACTCGTGGTATTATTTATCTAATTGGTGCTTTACATGTATTAGTTATACATCCATCGTAAGGATATATTCCCAGTAAGACGAGTAGAATGTTTTCCAAAGTGTGTGCCTTAAAACTCATCCCTCCAGAGTTTCTACCAAAAATAAAAAGGGCACCATCCTCACGGAAGAGGGAGATGCCCCTCAATAGTCCCTCTTTATCAGGGATTCACATGCTTGTTTGCACATTAAAAACTAAGAAGTCCTGTACTAAAGAGACATGTAAATGTTTAAAAATCTGCATTTCAATAAACATCTTTGATCACTGAACCCTTGTTTTCTCCTGTAATACTTATGAGCAATTTAGTGTTCTAATACATGCATTTGGGGGATCGCTGTAACAGCCTTTCCGTCCAGGTGGTAATGCACAAAGTCTCGGGAGCCCAAGTGCGGTCAGGTGTTGGTGCCTTTGGTTTTAACCAGAACCCCTTATCCAGATTTGAAAATATTCAGACAAAACGGCAGAGAAGAAACCTGAAAATCATCCGCTGCTGCGTATCAGAAGGTTGTGGCAGAATTGGGGACACATTTTTTCCATATACTTTATTTGAAATTTGGAATTTTCTAAAGGAGCTAGCCCCTTCCCCCAAAATGGGGGGAGTGGAGACCTAAAGAGGTACGAGCCAGTCCAAGGCAGAGTTGTATGTATATTCTTTCATTACCTTTTTGGGACCAGAAGTAGATGTTAAAAACAAACAAAACCAAACCTGGAGAGTAAGTGCAGACACAGAGATCATGCTGGTCACTGTGCATGACTCATCGGCCTGCCCCGTGGAGGGCAAGCCCCCAGCCACACCTGGGTCAGTCTTTAAGGCAGTGGCCTCTCGCTAACACCTACAGGGGTCTTTGGTTCAGAACTTTTGAGATGACAAGCCTGCACTGGAATAATGACTCTAGTCTATCTGCTAACTGAAGGTGAGTGACAGCCACCCAGTGTGTCCAGAAGAGTTCTCACCGCAGGGCTCAGCACCTCCACTCCGAGGGCAGGTCACAGCTCGGGGCTAGGGAGCCTCGCGGACAGTCCCGGCACTTTCCTCCTTGCTTTGTCTGAGTTTCACTGTTCATACCTGCCCTTTTCTTAGTCTGTCATGAACCAGCTCAAGGATGTCTTGAAGTTGCCTCCATCGATTGATTTCTATGGATACTTGGTAGAGTGGCCATTTCGTTTATCACCTAGTATGCAATTCTTTAGAGACGGACTGAAAGGGGATTCTATCACTAAAGAGGCTGGGCCAGCAGGTGTGCACCAGGTATATCCCGGGAAACCCAGCATATCTGGTTGCCTTAATTGGTAAACCCTTCAAGGCACTGATGGAATGTGGTCTGACTGTCATCCCTGTTAACCCAGGAACGGTGGCAGGGCTGCTGCTAACTATCTGTCTCATCTCTAGGCTTTCATTGTGGTTCCTACTGCATGCCTTTGTCACCTGGATCAGCATTCTGAGGGCCTCTGACAGGGGAAGGAAATTGAACAATTCATTTTCACGGGGTGAGGTCTCCAGTACATTGGTGGTAAACACAACCATTTCTAGCATATGAACAATACATCTGTTTTTCGTTCACTGTTTCCCAGAGAAGGAAATAAACAAGGCTGGGAGCTAGGGCAGCAGACTGGTGTGAGAAGATGATGGCCTTGGAATTGGGGCAGACTGATTCCATAGCTGCCTGGTTCCTTTTGGGAAATAAATCTCAATGTCTATTAATTTAAAACATAAAACCCTCCTATTTGATTCAAAGATTCTCTCTTTCCCAAGGGAGACAGGGCAAACATCTGCGTCCCTCCACGGTTACTACCGCTCACATAATGCTAGCTCTTCCATTCTCTTTAGCTCTGACCTCGGGTGATGTAACCCTCTGCCTCCTGCTGTTGGGGCACCGTTATCTGGTAGACAGCCCTCTCCAGTGGTAAACCAGCGAAATACCCCTAGCCCGGCCATTCTCTTTCACGCTAGCATTACCCACTGGAGTTGTCCATTGAGGGGAAATGGCCCAGGCAGAGGGAGCTGGCATGCAAGAGCCCCTGGCGGGATCAAATTTGGTCTGTTCAAGAATTGAAATAGGTGACGGGGTTTACAAGTTATAAATACATAAAATAAGTCATGGGGATGTAATGCAGAGTATGGTGACTATTGTTAATACTGTATATTTAGAAGTTGCTAAGATCTTAAAAGTTCTCACCATGAGAAAAAATGTGTAACTATATGGTGACAAGTGTTAACAAGACTTGTGATCATTTTGCAATATATACAAATATCCAATCATTAAATTGTACACCTGAAACTAATATGTAAATTATATCTCAATTTTTTTAAAAAGAAAAGGTTTGGGGCCTGAGCATCCAGGTAGATTCCAGATGCCAATTGCCGAGATGGGAAGGATGACTGTCGAGAATGAAAGGTGAACAAGCCCTGGCCGGGTAGCTCTGTTGGTTAGAGCATCATCCCGATGCAGCAAGATTTCAGCTTCCATCCTCAGGGCACACACAGGGATCAACCAGTGAATGCATAAATAAGTGGGACAACAAATCGATGTTTCTCTCCCCCCCCCAAATTTATAGATAAATAAAAATTAAGAAAAGTCAAGAATGTTTGGGTTGGCCACGTTAGGTTTGAAATGTCTAATAGACACCGAGGCAGAGAAGTGAAGTGAACACCCGATTGTACAGTGAGGATCTCTGATTGTAAAGCTCAGTTGAAAGGTCTTGGGTCAGCGTGTAGGTGGCACTTAAAACCACAGAGCGAGACGGCATCACTTGGGAGGGAATGAGGAGAAGAGGCTTGAGGGGAGAGGGCAGAGGACAGGATCCTGGCCCTCCAACTTCATTTATTATTATTTTTTTTAATCCTCACTGGAGGGTATTTTAATCGGTTGCCTCCTGCACACGCCCAGACCGGGGCTGAACCTGCAACCGAGGTACGTGCCCTTAGGCTGGAATCGAACCCGGCACCCTTCGGTCCAAGGGCCGCTGCTCTAACCCCTGAGCCAAACTGGCTAGGGCCTGGTCCTCCAACCTTACAGGTGGGGTTCATAGAAGAAGAAGAGGGAGAGGAGGCAGCAAAGAGGCTAAGAAGCAGCCGCCAAGGAGGTCAGAGGAAAACCAGGAAAGTGCGGCCTCGCAGAAGCCAAGAAGAAAAAGTCTGAAGCCAGGCAGGGGAGGGAGGGGGAGGGCAAAGGGCGGGACAGGAGCAGGTAGTGTTTTAGGTTGTGCTGAGAAATGTCCCTCTGGGGACAGTGGGCAAGGCGGGTGGAGGGCAGGAGACTGGGAGGGATCGCTGAGTCCTCCAAGCAGGGCCTCAGCCATGCCTCTGAGTGCTCCCTGTCGGCCTGTGCCCCCGGGTACCTGGTGGAGCCCTGGGGCAGCTCTGCCACCGGGAAGTGCAAGGACCGAGGCCTACACCCTGCCTGGGGCGGTCCCGCTTCTAAGGGCCATGGAAACGTGGGCTCAGGGAGGCGCAGGGTCGTCCCCAGCTGTCCAGCCTGGTGTTTCCTGAGGCAGAGAGTGCACGCGTGGCTCTGGAGGGGGCACTGGCGTGTGCATGTGGAGCGAGCGCGCTCAGCCTCGGTTTACCCTGCCCTCCTCCAGCCTCGGGGGACGAAGGCCCTCCCTCCCGCAGAGAGCCTGGGCAGCTCTCAGAGGGTGAGCTCCAGTCCCGTGAATCAAGGCTGAAGTGCCTGCCCTGGAGCAGGCGAGGAGAACCTCGGAAAACGAAAGGAACACAGCGAGGGGCTGGAGCTGGGGAAGCAGCAGTGGGAGCAGTGGCTCAGCCTAGCCGGCGGGTCTCTGTTTCTCCCAAGGCCTTCCCTGGCCACCTTCCCTGGCCACCTTCCCTGGCCACCTTCCCTGGCCACCGGCTCCAGAAGTCCAGCCCTCCCGGCCCTGCCTCGGGGCTCTCGCTTCCCCTCCCTGCTTTGCTGTCTCCGCTTAGTACTAATCACAGGTCACATATTCTGCACTGTATTTACCTCTCTTGTTTGTTCTTCACCACCACGAGAATGTAATTTCGCGTGGGCAGGGATTTTTGTCTGTTGTGTCCCCACACTTAGATCAGTACCTGGCACATAGGTTCTCAGCACATAATGTTTTCTAAATGACTAATTGAACAAATGACCCTAGTGGCTTTATACAGCCTTTATCACCTATAACTTTTCTTGGGCTTGGATATTTCTTGTGTCCAAACATATTCCAGAATAAAACTCTTGTGATGTCTTATACCTATTCTATTCTATTCTATTCTATTCTATTCTATTCTATTCTATTCTATTCTATTCTATTCTATTCTATTCTATTCTAGTCTATTCTATTCTATTCTATTCTATTCTATTCTATTCTATTCTATTCTATTCTATTCTATTCTATTCTATTCTATTCTATTCTATTCTATTCTATTCTATTCTATTCTATTCTATTCTATTCTATTCTATTCTATTCTATTCTATTCTATTCTATTCTATTCATCTATTCTCCTATCCCATTCCATTCTATTCTAGCATGCGTTACACTGCTGCTGTTTTATATGTGTCTGTCTCTCTTACTAGACTCTGAGCTTCTAAGAGCAGGGGCTGAACCCTGTTCTTCCCTGTATCTCTCGTGGTCTGGCCCACAGTCTAGCACAGGAAATACTTAATGAGAAAACGACTGGATGTCTGTTATGACTTAGCTTGTGGCCCAGAGACGCTTTCCTCCCCCACATCTCACATGTAATCAGGCTACACATCCCTTAGGTGTCTGCACCACCCATCTTCTCTCCAGCTCCTCGGCCACTGGCCTGAGTCTGGCCCTTACCCTCTCTCTCATAAATTAGCATAGCAGGCTCCACACTGGATCCTGAGCCTCCCAGCTCACCCACAGCTGCCCAAGGCATGTTCTAAAGCAAAGCCCCCATCAGGCTACTCCCCTGTGTCCTGTCCACTAGACTCTGGGCACTAGAGCTGAATTTTTAGCTTCAGATCCACCATCCATCCAAGACGGTGGTGAGGTTTATCCCCGATTGCTCCCCCATCGTAGAGCCCGGCCTCTAGCAAGCTGTACTGATTGCATCTGTGTTTTCAATTCTCTCCCACTGCCCAAGCTCTCCTCCTCTGCCTAGGTCACCCTTCCCCATCTCTTCAGTTATTCAATCATTCAGTGATTCATTCAGCAATAAGTGCACGGTGCCAGTCACTGTGCTCACACCGGAGCTGCTCCTTTTGAGGTCACTGTGGTTGTGACTCTTGCTCTACCTCCCAGAGCGATAAGGCTCAGTAACTGCCCTCTCTACAAGGCTCTGTTG